GGTAGGTGGAGAGGTCGGGTATGAATTCCCTGACAATACTTTGCTTTTACAGTTTTGACTTTGGCACCATGGAAATGTTTAACATTAAAACAAAACAAAATTTAAAAAAATATTTAATACTGGCATTGTTATTCTGAAATTAATAAATACACGTGTATTACAGATAAGGCACTTGAGTAATCATGCTAATGCCATTAAGAATCAAGACCTTTTGAATTAATTGCTTTAATTTTCCAGGGCTAAAAAAAAAAGAAGACTTTTAGCATAAGGAAAAAATATATAAAACTGAGATAATTAAGTAAAAACCCTATAATAATTTGAATTGAAAGTACTTGCGTGACCTCATGTTTTTCTCTTTCAAAAAATACACTTCTAAGCTCATTCCACTGATAGCTACTATCAGTAAGTTAGTGCCATTAAGTTTGAAGATTTATATAAAATGAAAGAACTCCCATGAAAATATAACTTATCAAAACTGACACTAGAAGACATGGAAGATATAAATGGCCCTAAAATTATTGCCAGGTACAGTGTCACACACCCATAGCTCTGGCTATGCATAAGACCGAGGCAGGAGGACTGCTTGAGCCCAGGAGTTCAAGACTAGACTGGGCAACACAGCAAGACTCCATCTAAAAAAAAAAATCCTAAAATTCTTAAGGAACCCAAATCTAATTCAAAGCCTTTCCACAAAGAAAACTCCATTCCTGGACATCTTCACCAGTAAGTTCTACCAAACATTTAAGGAGCCAATAATGGCAATTTTATACAAACTATCCCAGAGACTACAAAAAGAGGGAACACTTCCCAACTAGTTTTCGAGGTCAACATAATCTTTATGGGAATCCTGACAAGAAAATTATGAGAAAAAAAAGTATGTGTTAATCTTACTCAAGAACATAGATGTAAAACTTGAATAGAAATATTAACAAACTTAGTACTACAAACAAAGGATAATACATCACAATAAAGCTAGATTTAGTCTAGCACTTCAGTTTAAATATTTGAAAACCAATTAATGTACATCACAACACTGACAGAATGAAAGAAAAAAATGTAATACCTCCCAAAAGCAGAAAAACATTTGATATCCATTCATGCTTAAACACTCGTAGCAAATTAAGAACAGAACTTCTGAAAAAAGGATATTTAAATAAACAAATACCAAACAACTGAATGGTGATATACTAAAAGCTTTCATGCTAAGATCAAAAAACAAAAAAGATGTCTGCTATCCCTTCTATTTAACACTGATTTGGAGTTCTTGGTCAAAATAACAAGAAAAAGACTGGAAAGGAAGAAATGTCATTATTTGCAGATGATTTTATTGAGTTCACAGAAAACATAAAAGGGAACCTACAAATGGATATCCATTTTCAAACAGGATGTCGTGGGTAGGAGAAATGTATTGTTCCTACTGCAACAACTAAAAAAACCTTTGTATCTTATTTTTAAGATATCAGAAATCATGAAAGCAATGAAGACTAAAGGAACTGACATTCCTGGAAGGGAAGAACCAATCCTAGGGTAAGCAAAAATCACTGACCATTTTCTTTCCTATAGGTTTCCTGTGTAATTCGTTTTGGAAAATAATTCTGCAGTTGCAGATTCAGGGCTGAGAATTATACCTGCATAGGCAAGACAAATGTCTCCAGGGGACATTTGCTGAGTGCTGGGGTAATATAGGAACCTGGGGAATTGGGTCACAAAGATGAAAAATCTCATATGGCCTCATGGTACTTAGGAGACAATGATGTCTACTTTGGAAAGGGCCTGTAACCCTGTATCAAGACCATGTGCAGCCAAGACATTTGCCAGATTTTGAAGCCATATAGGCCAGGAAGCATCTAGACATTAAAACACACACACACACACACACACACACACACACACACACACAAATTTTTAAGACAAACAGGAAGAAAGGTACTTGTGACATATACTAGACACAACTGATTAATATCCAGAATATATAAAGAATTAGTTTAAAAAAAGACTACCAAAAAGATAAATGGGCTAACGATATCAGCCCATGAAAGAAACACAGATTAGCAATAAACATATTAAATATGTTCAATTGTAATCAGAAAGTTACAAATTAAAACTCCAAGATAACATTTTGTCTTTCACACTGGCAAACAATCCGTAATAATAAACATTTTTAAAACTAAAATTCAATAGTATGAAGCCCTATGAAAGTAAAATATTCCTACTAGGTTTAATTTAGGTCCAATATTCAATGTTAATAAAGGTAAACTAGCCTAGTTGGTGCCTAATTTGTCAACAAGAAGTCAAAGAATCTTTTTAATACCCAGAGGATCTGGCAGAGAGGATATGAGAGGGACTCAGAAGGAAAAAAACTAGTCTAATAGAAAACATCTATTTTCCATTTGTGCCCTATGTACCAGTATGAAAATGGACAGCAAGGTGCACTACTAGAGACAATATAATGCTTTTAACTTTCTAAACTTGATGAATTAGTGGGCATAATGAGAAAGCAGTGCTAATACCAAGTATGCATAAACTAGGAGTAGAATAAAGTTAGAAACGGACTCTAGAGGGTCCTAAGTGCTAAGCTAATGGAGTTTTAATTTTATCCTGTTTGTGATAAGCAGCCACTGAGCTGCTAGAGCTGAGCTTTCAAAAAAATTCACCTGGCAGTAGTAGAGAACCAGGGAGACTGGTAAGGAGGCTGCTCTAATAGTTGTGGCAAAAATCACAAGTCTATTAACAAACACTGTAACCTTTAGATTGCTTTAAAATTCTGGTTATGCACAGAAAAACATTTAAAATATTTGAAAACCAGTAAGGGATCCCATATTCATTTGCTTCATTCTCAAACAACCATAGCAGCAGGTATGCTGTATAATGCAGTGGCATTTAATTATTAAGAAGCAGAAACCTTAAAATTACATTGATCAATAATCTCAGACATAATGCTTTTTTTTTTTTTTAACAAGCTTTGGCCAAAAGTGATTTTAAGATAATTAGAATGTGACATTTTGACAATGTAACAAAGAATGACTTAAGGGGTATAATAAATGGGTTTTTTTAATTAACTGGATAGATCAAATGTTAAAATGGATGTCAGAGGAATTATACATCCCAGAAGGTTAACAGCTCACTGATTGGAAAATTAGCATGTATTTTTGCTCCAATGGTCACTTACTTTTCTTTGACGGGTCCTGCCTGCCCGCCTCACTAATGCCCAGCAGGGATCCAAATGGGGAAACTGCCTCATGCTCGTTTCAGCAACGTCTCTCCCTGCTATGGATATCCATGGCAGAAAATACAAAGAGGCAGAACATTTCCACAGGAAAGTCTTACTGTTCTTCTGGTTTCAGAAGAAGGACCACTGCTGCCTATGTACCTCTTCCTATTCCCAAACTGCACCCCTCATAACAAACAACCAAACAAAAAACCGCAAAAGACAAAGATCCCCCAAAAAACAAAACAAAATACCTCAACAGAAAACTAATAAGCAAAGCCTAGAAGTTCACTCAGAACTCAGGCTTAACTGCTTATCCAAATTCTGTTCTATGCACATAAATTCTTCACTTCATATTTTCTTATTCTTATTATGGTATTTATTTATAGTTCCTATAAAAAGCTTCTCGGTTTCCAATAAGTAAAGTTCGAGTTGCACTGGAAGACAGATAGGTAAAAGCAACTCAGGTATATGGGGGCATGTGCTACCTAATCAAGGACAATTACAAAGTACCGGGTGTGGGTCTGTCTGAAAGTTCTGCTCTGACCAGCAAACATGAATGCCTCTTGCTTAGTGCCATACAGCCTAAGGCCACTGGAGGTCAGCAGAGAACCTGGTCCCACCAGGGGCTAACTGATGGGACTTTCTAGATCCAAGGCAGCAAGCATGACCACCAAAGAGAAAAATGAATTCTACTCCCAAAATTCTCCAAATGGTAAGACTGCAGAAGATGAGATATAATGATGATGCACAGTTAAAGCAAGGCCATGTTCTAATTGTGTGCATGTGCATATGCATATGTACACATGTGTCTATGAGTGTTTACAAGTTTTGGAAAACAAACATGTATAAAGAAGAAAATAAGACCCACTTCCAACCACCACTGGAGAAAACCATTATTAACATTTTGGTTTGTATTTTGGTAACTTTGAAGAAAAGATGCTTAACTAGCAGATATATTTCAATTCAGAAAAACTAAACTCTGAGGTTAGTAAATAGGAAAGTGATAGCATCAATACTTGCAGAAAGGGTTTAGCAGCTTGGGAGAAATTCCTAGAGAGAGTAGAGCATTACCAACACTCTTAATGGCATGAAGGTCAATATTGTATAGAAAAAATAAAATTCGACTCAGTTGAGAAATGATGCACAACAGTCAGTCTCTGAGTGTAAAGTTGTTTAGGAATTACTTGAACAAATTTATTTTCCTTTTAAGGCACACACATTAATGACACAACTTTTAAAAATCTATTTCTGAGTCTAAAATAGTTTTTACAATAGGTATAAAAAAATTCTAAGTGCCCGTATCTCTCACCATGAACAAAAATATAGGGGAAATGCTTCAGAACACTGGTCTGGGAAGATTTTAAGGATACGGCTTTAAATGCACAGGCAAAATAAGCAAAAATAGGCAAATGAGATTATATCAAACTAAAAAGCTTCTATAGGGCAAAGGAAACACTCAACAGAGTGAAGAGTCAACCTGAGAATTAGTGGTGGAAATATCTGTAAACTAATCATCTGACAAGAGATTAATATCTAGAATATACAAGAAACACAAGCAACAGCAAAAAAAAAAAAAAATCCAATTTTAAAAAGGGCATAGCATCTCAATAAACATTTCTTAAAAGACATACAAATGGCCAAAAAGTATATGAAAAAATGGTCAGTATTACCATTCATGTGGTTACATGCAAATTGAAACCACAATGAGATATCATCCCATCCCACTTAGAATGGCTATTAACAAAAATATGAAAATAATAATGGAGGATCTGGAGAAAGGGAAACACTCATATGTTATTAATAAGACTGTAAAGTAGTATAGTCACTATGGAAAACAGAATAGGGGTTCCTCAAAAACTAAAAATAGAACTACTATATGATCCAGCAATTCCACTACTAAGTATTTATCCAAAGAAAAGGAAATCAGTATAGCAAGGACACATCTGCACCCCCATGTTTACTGAAGCACTATTTACAACAGTCAAAATATGAAATCAACCTAAGTGGCCATCAGCAGATGAATGGATAATGAAAATGTACTACATATAAACAATAAAGTACAGCTCAGGACTGCTCTGCCTATCGAGTAGCCATTCTTTTATTCCTTTATTTTCTTAACAAACTTGCTTTCACTTTATGGATTTGTCTCGAATTCTTTCTTGAATGAGATCCAAGAACCTTCTTTTGGGGTCTGGATCAGGACCCCTTTCTGGTAACATCCTCCTGGCGAACCATGGAGGGATGATACTGAGGAAACCCCCAACCCAAAAGGAAACAGACTGCAGCACCAACTGGCCAACTCTGGGTAAGCAAGTGGGGTACCCGGGTGAAGGATGAGATTGGGTTAGAGGTCCAACTTAGGGGAGTCAGAGTATCTCCTAAAAGAGAGTGAATTAAAGGTCCCTCTTAATAAAAGGCAAAGACATTTGATTTGGGGTTCAAGGCCCAACTTAGGATGGTTAGAGTCCTTCCTAAGATTCAGGGAGTGAGAGGTCCCCCTCAGTAAAGTCCCTCTCAGCTAAGAATGGATTTGGCATTATGGGATGTTAACCACTATTCTCTTGCCTTATACTCTTCCCTGACAGCTGTGGGTGACAGGATCACTGGACATGGGGAGCTTTTTTAATTCCTGAAAGGGGAAACTTGAGAGCTGGTAAGACTGCTGGAGAACATCTCATTGCAACTGACAAGTGACTGCCTGAACTTCTGATTCAGTGTCACTGCAATGAGTGGGTCTTTCTCTGGCCTCCCTGAGCTCCTTGCCTTCCCCACCTTTCAGGAAGCAATGCTTTTCTCCCTTTCCTATCTTTTCTGTTACTCAAGATGACAATCTTGCCCAGAGACCACATAAGGGCAGAGGTTGGATTAAAGATGACAGGGCCTATCCAAGGGCAAGTTTGAGCCTGGCCAGTTCCATATTGCATACTAAGCAGAGTGGCTACTGTAACAAACCTGGTATACTTTGTGCTACAATTTTGTCTTTCCATATTGCTCTGTCATTCAGAAGAATACCTTAGCACAGAACACTGGCTTAGGATCTCAAAATCCCACTGTTCAAGCCAGCCTGGAAAACTGGTCAGTTACAAACTGTGCTGCAATTTCCTGAAAAAAAAAAAAAAAAAGTTGTTTCTTTCTCATCTTGTTCTGTCTTTGGGAGCTTGACCTCGTAAGAATGGGACAGTACTTTCTCTTGGTCTCTGCCACCCAGGGAACAGGAATTTTGGGGTCCATGTCATAGTTTGCTCAAAAAAATTATCTTAAGCAGTTAAAAGCCTTTGCAAGCTCAAAGCTGACTGCCCTAGGCTCCAGGGAAGAGCAATGGAAACTGCCTAATGCTGTAGCTTAGTGGCTAAGGCTTTCTCTTTCCACAATGGTGGCACAGATTCAGAGTTCAATTCCTGGCTTAGGGAATGAGTCCTTCCTGGTTTGATATCTGCAAGGTCTTTTCCATTTGTTGACTCCCTTCCCCTCCACAAACAATCTTGAATTTTCCTTTCTCTGAGCACCTGGGAGGTTACCTTTGATAAAGTTCAAAAGCCAGAAATACTGGCCACTTGGCCTGGCTAAAGTCAGGTGATAAGAAATTTAAAAGAATTTTTTTTTAAGAGTGCTATGGTTAAAAGTCAGCTTAATTAAAAGCAGATATTCAAGCTAAAACAGCCTGAGATTCCTTGAGAAAAACAGAGGTGGCACTATGGACCTTGTTTTGGGAAAAACCTCTGTATTCCTAATGAAACCCTAGAAATTAGAGGCAGATAGATTCCTCTCAAAATCGAAGGCTCTTAAGAGTCCTCTCAAAATCTAAGGCTCTGTTCTGTTTTGCATTGCGTTATCTGACATTTTTGACTTTGGAAGGTATCAGAAATTATTTTTAATTATGAGAGAACTAGGCAGGAAATGTACTTTTGGGCATGGTTAATGGCAGTTATGGATTCCCTGTCAGAGACACAGATGTCTCTGACAGAGGTGTTCAAACCAGAATGACTCTGCACATTTGGATTAGAGAAGCATGCTTTTGACCCCTAAAGTATGAAAACGTCCCCACACCCCACTGAGAGAGAACTCACCACCCTGAAAGGAAGAACACAGGCCTGGCTGGCTTTGCCACCTGCTGATTGTGCTCACTTCAGGGTCTTTGCTTACTCCAGAGCCTTGAGTGAACATAGGTGGTTGCCAGGGTGTGGTTACAGCAGGCCTTGGGTGGGATTCAGTGCTGTGCTACCTCAGACCTGACCCAGAGCAGTCCTAGTGGTTGTAGCCACAGGGGTGCTTGTGTCACTCCATCCCCAGCTCCAGTAGGTTCAGAACAGAGAAAGAGACTCTATTTGTTGGGAAGAAAGTAAGAGAACAAGTCTTTGCCTGGTAATCCA